AACCCCCACCTCATCCCCCCCCCCCAGGCTTTCACAGGCATTCCCAACATGCGGCGGGAGCAAAGATCCCCCTGTTAGCGCTATCACAAGCTGGTGTTGTTTTTAATGACGTGGCCACGCGTGCTTTCCTGTACACAGGGTTACAGTCCGCAGGCTGCTCTGGGTCTCGTTCTTTCACCCAACACCAAGAAGTTTGGCGTCTTGGAGGACCATTTTACTTGTGCCCTATAAATGGACACTGAAGTCATTTCCAGTTTAGAAAATAATTTTCTCCCCAAATACTGCAGTATTGTTCAACATCCTCCAGGGAGCATTCATTTACGATCATCTGATGGAGTGATATTGCTGGACCCATTTTCATAGTGCCAAATTGCCCTCCAAAAAGAGACGATCTATCGAGTTCTACCTACACTGTCCCTGTTTAACTTGCCCCCCACCCCCGTGTCTCACTCGCGGTCCCTGTCAGAACTGCAGCTCCCTTCTATCCCACCCCAGGGGCGGGGCAGAGTAGGCTACTCACAGAAAATTCCTTTATTCTGTTTGTTGAGGAACTGGAGGAACATAAATGTTTTGCCTATATAAAATTAATGGCCTGTGGTAAAGAATGTTGAGGTTTCAGCAGCCTTCCATGCTGTTTGGCTAGGGAAACAGTGGGGCTGTGTGCTGGGCACGGGCTGGGAAGAAAGGGGCTGGGCCCGGAGGCTGTGCTGACCGCAGAGTTCCAGGCCTCCCCTTTGCTTCTCATTTAGTGTGCCCATCACCATGTTTACACTTGGCTGTTCCTTCTGTCCCAGGCAGGACCTGGACCTGGGGGTAGGAGAGGGCTCTTCTGGCCTAGAGGGTCATGACACTATTCGAACTTCCGGTTGCATCTGGGCAGAGGTCTCCATGACCTCGTCCCCTTCTTTGATGCTCTGCTACCTTTTCAGCACAGCTCTAGATCTGGAAAATTCTGCTATCATGTGGCATCTGGGTGCCGCTTTCCCTTTTCCCTGGTAGACGGCTCTTAATATGCCCATGGCACTTTGATCACAGCTGTATTAAATAATCCACCCTTTAGCTACTGTTTCCCCAATACTGGGTTGAGAGCTAGTTATACTAGCGACAACAGCAATTTGGGATAATGCAGCGCTTCCTGCGTGCCAGGCACGTCAGTGTCACACTTAGGCTCAGACCTCACAGCATCCTGGCATCTCGATCTCTGGCAACTTCTTGACCATCCTACTGATTTTCAATTTATATCTCTATGATCTGACTTACCCATGAGTTTTGGGGAAACAACAACAAAAGACATTATTGCTGGCAAAAATATTTGTCACATTTGTAAATTAAGATCTGATGCTATGAAAGAACAACAGCCCTTTTCCCGATTAGCCTGTCATCAAGACTGTTTCGCCTTCTCATGCCATCAAGTTAGGGCCTTCTCTCATCCATGGGAGTAGAGTTGCTGCTCAATTTCCCTAGGAGAGGCAACTTGTGACACAGGTACCGTTAGGAAATGACTGCCCCCACATGTTAATTCTCCCAAATTCTTTGATAAATGAATAAAGGTGATCTGGATTGATCTGGATTTGAACCCTGCCCATTGGCTTCCCAGTCTTGAAACTTTGGCTGGGTTCCTCAGTCTTTGAAAGCCTCAGTTGTCTCATGGTCTCAGGGTCTGGCACAAAAATGATCAACGATGTTTGGCTATTATTCATTCTTGTCATTATGACATGGTCCCTGACCTTAAGAAATTCAGGTATGTAGGAGGGGAGACGAGACAGATTTTCAAATCTCTCCACAGGAGGACGCGGCATGTCGTGTGTGCAAGAGGGACAGAGCCGCCGTGGAAGGAGGGCGATGTTTCTGAGCTAGGTGGCTGCGATGGGAGGGCGGACGTCTGGGAGGGCTTGGGAGGAAACGGGAAATGGCAGGTCTGTCCCGCGCTGCCTAGGGGGGCACTGTTTCAGGACCCCCAGGGAAGCGGGGACTGCAGGTTGCAGCCTGAGAGCGAGCGACCCGTGTCACCTCGACTTTGTGGAATAGGAAATGTCAGTTCCCCGTGAACGGAGGTCACCGACGGGGTCGGGGGCTAGGGTGGGAGCTGTGGACTGGGAGTCGAGAGAAGGCCTCATCGAGATGGTGCCGTCGTTAATGACTACGCACCGCTTTCCTGGCCTTCACTTTTACCGGCTGAAGACGGGAAAGGACGCAGACGAGGCCCCGGAAGACCTTATTCCCTGTTCTCCGATGCCTTGGACCAGTGTCAAAGGCGCAGCCGGCTGTTGCTTGCGCTGTGACAGGCGGCGCCGGGGCCTGGTGGGGAGAAGGCGGCAGCCCTCGCCGGGCCGGGGGGAGGGAGCCAGGCGGGGGCGGGGAGGCGACCCTCCCCCTTGCGGCCCGCGCGGGAGAGGCCGGGACAACGGTGTGACAGTGGGCGCCTGCCGTAGAGGCCCGCAGGGTGGAGAGCTGGGACCATGCTGTGAGCTAACCAGAAGCCGGAAAGCCTGTTGCTGTTTCCGTGGCTAAGCTGGCCTGTACCCGAGGCAGGGGCGCGGCGGCCGTGCGCGTGTGTGTGTGTGTGTGTGTGTGCGTGTGTGTGTGTGCGCAGCGATCACCCGAGGGCGTGCGGCAAGGCGGCAGTGAAGCAGCTGCGCTGTCCCTGTGCGGCACCTTACTCGATGGTTTGGCTGAGTTATTACCGTCTCCTCCACGACTCTTTGCCCGCGTGCTCTGCCGCAAACACTGTGACCCCAGAAAGAATGGGAAAAGGGAAGGGAAGCAGCCATCAGCCGCGTGTGTGTGTGTGTGTGTGTGTGTGTGTGTGTGTGTGTGTGTGTGGTGTGAGCGTGACTGAGTTTATGGCAGCCTGCGCGCAGCCCGTCGCTGCGTGGGGACAGCGCGAGCCGAGCGCCCTCCGGCAGGGCGGCCGCTGGGAAAGCCTTCGCGCGGAGCGCCCTTCTGTTCCTGCCGCGTTCCCGCGCCGTGGAGCCGCGCGGGAGAAAACGTCCAAGGCCGCTTCCGCAAACGCCGAGGGCTGCGAACGCGGCTCCGCCGTCCACTCGCTCCTCAAGCCCCTTTCTCTAGACAACAGCCGGGCTGCGTGGGGCGCCTCACCCGCCGGCCCGGGGGGCGCGGCCGTGCGTGTGCTCCCGCGAGGCCCTTCCGCTCCCTGCCCCCCGGCGGCTTTGTCCGGGGCCGCGTGCAGAGCGACTCAGTCTTACCCCGCGTGTCTGAGTGTTTAAAATCTGCTCTGTGGAGCCGAGTAAGAGGCGCTCAGTGAGATCTGATGAGCAGAGCGGCACAGGTTAGGTTTATCCGCCCACCCCAGGCACAGACTAAAAAGGAACCCGAGCCCAGGCCACTCGGCACAGACCGAGCAAAGCGCTCTCGTGGCGGGCGTCACCGTCCGGGAGGGTTTGTCCCGCTCCGCGCTTCAGTTCATTCAAACCCGTGGCTGCGGCTTCGCAGCGAGGCGCCAGCCTGCTGTCTAACGGCCTCCGTCCGTCCCGTTAGGTGCTCGGAGCGGGGTGGGGAGGAGAACCACAGCAACCGGACGCCCCGCGGCACCGCAGGCCGCAGTGTGAGCCGTGGCGCTGCTGGTTTCCGCGAGTCCTGGCTGCCGAGACGGGAACCGTACGGGAAAGGCATGTGGAGGCGCCGTGGGGCGCGCTGCCGGCCGTGAAGCCTGTTTCCTCAGGTGCAGGGGTGGGCCGGGCCCCGGGGCCTTCTCCAGCCCGCGCTGCCGGCCTCGCCCGCCACCGCCACCCCAGCAGGGGACGCCCGGGCGCGGCCTCCGTCCCTCGGGCCGAGCGCAGCTTCGCGCCACGCGGAGGACGAGGGCGGGTTGTCCGCGAGTGTAAGCCAGCGCGTGTTTGCGGACAACCAGGCCGGCAGCGAGGCGGGCGCGCTGAGGGGAAGGAGCCGGGCAAGGCCGCCTCGGGCGGGAAGGTCCTTTGTCCCGGGAAACGTCTATTCGTCACCCCGACAGGCCCTTCCTGCCTCGCTTAATTACTTCCTCCCCTGCGCCCCTCCGAGTCCTGAACTCTTTCACGCGGAGCCTGGGAGGGCCGCTTTGTTGCTGCCCGCGGCACAAAGGGCGAGGGGAGCGCGGTGCAGACGGCGAGGGTCTCAGGCTGGGGGGAGGCCCAGGGAGACGTCCTAAATCCAAGAAAAGACGCGGAGGGCCGCCTCCGTCCCCCGCTCGCTCCGCGACCCCAAGCACGGTCCTGGGGTCCGGCAGGAGCGCCCGGCCCGCGGGCTGAGCCTCCGGGCGCGGGGTGGCCGCGAACCCCTGACCCTCCGGGCGCCGGGGGCCGGAAGCGGGGGGCTTGGCGCGGGTGCGCAGAGCGGCGGCTGGCGGTGCTGCAGCGCCCCCGCCGGGCCGCCCGCGCTCCTGCTCCCGCCGCTCCCGCCCACGCGCACCTTCCCACCGGCCGGCGTGGGAGCCGCTTCCCGGGGTGACGGACTGACATCTCCCTTTGTCCGCGCCTCCGGGGCGCTCGCGCCGCGACCGTGGCACGCGAGGGCCAGCCTCGCCCCCGCTGGCGCCCCGGCCCCCCACGAGCGCGTGCGTGGCCGTGGAGGCCGCGGGCGCTGCCCACCCCCCAGCCGCGGGCGCGCTCCTGCATTGTTATCTGGGGAAGGGGCTGCGCGCACCGCTGACCGCTTGCTCCCTGCGGGACTCGGCGCCCACCGCGCCCGGCTGCGCCCTGAGCTGCCCTCCGGGGCCGGGACCCGCGCGGGCTGCGGCGCGAGGTCAGCGAACGGGGTCTCTCCGCAGAACAGGGGCTCGGAGCAGCGAGGCGGGG